CATATAGATAGTATGTACTTAGTTTTTTATGCCTTCGGATTATATTGACTTATAACAACATATAATTGTTTACAAAAGTTAGAATAGATAACTTACCATAATAACAAAATTGACAAATTCGACACAATTCGGTGAATATCAATGTCGTCCAAAAAACATCATTTTGATGCTTAACTGTAATAATTTAATATTATTTTATTCTCTTTTAATGTCAGTTTATATATTTGTTAGGGTAAATTACACAAACCTCTTTTCTAAATTGGATGGAAAAATTGAAGAGACCTTTTTCTAATTATAAAAATTACAAGAACTTCTAAAAAATATCATTGTAGAGACCTATGCTTCATACTAGATATGGGTAAACAAAAGACACAGAAAGTAAAAACTAAGAGAGAGGAAAAAGATTATTCGACATACATGATTCTTTAACAAGGGGTAGCTTAATATTTCCCCCAAACTAGTTGTGACTTAACTATATTATATGTTCTTGTGATATAGTCATTGCTTTATGTATTAATTAAAGTAAACGGATTTCTCATGCCAATTGATGGTATGCCAATTTCAGAATCAAGAAAATATTCTATCAATTTCATGATTAATATTTATTATAATGCTCGTACTCTTCAAAATAATCATTAAATGTACGCTGAATCCTCCAAAAATAATGTAAATTTTGGAGGATCCAATATGAATACGAAAATATTTTCAGAGAATCCAAGCAATATCTTTGATTTATTATGTTCTAACATACTTCATTTTATTTATTACTCCCTCAGGTCCATTTTAATTGATTTTTGGCTATTTTCACACATATTAAGAAATTTAACTTTTAACGTTAATTAACTATAAAATTGATCATATTAACCTTTACTGTCTTTTAAATTTATTCATTGTTAATATAACAGATACTTCAAGACTCGTTATTCCTTGGGCAATTTTGACAAAAGAAGTTAATTTCATCTTCATATCTGAAAAACTTAAATATTTGGAATCACAAGAAAGGCCAAAAAATTAATTAAAGTAGACGGAATGGAGTACTAAAAGTTGATCTAAGTGGTTAAAGAAAGAAGGGAAAGTGTGGAAAATTTTCTGTATTTTCTGATTGATTTCTTTCTGTACAAGCCATGTATATTTATACAAGTATATTCCTAGTAAAAGAAAATTAGAACTAAAAATAGAAATAGAATAATTCTATGGTATTTGTACACTTGTCATGTACGTACTAAACTAATTATAACAAAATAGCCAACTAATATTCTTTCCTATCTCTCGTGCGTGTGAACCTTCTTATATGTGTGAGAAGGTTCCAGAATTGTGTTATTATTTACATGGTCTAGATTAAATCTATCATGATCAACTTTAGACACTAGGATGCTACCATGTGTCCCTTCAGATTTGAGACTAGATTTTAAACACTTTGTTTTGTCCGAAATTATTCCTTCTTCTTTGATTCTCACACCTTTCCTCTTTTCTTCTTCTCTGCTGTGTGAGCCCGTGGTAAGATTGATTTCCAACATCCTTCCTCAAGTTGGAGGGGAACGACGAGATCCACAACTTGCTAAGAATTGAACGATGGGAAGGCCCTGACAACGGCTTGGTAAATAGATTTGCAAGCTGAGATTTTGATGGCACAAAAGAGAGGGAAATGAGGCTGGAAAGAAATTGCTGTCGAACAAAATGGCAATCTAACTCCACGTGTTTGGTACACTCATGGAACACGAGGTTTTATGCAATATGAATGGCAGATTGACTATCGAAGAGAACAGGAACCGACAATGAAGGTGGTATAGAAAGATCGTCAAGAAGACGAGTGAGCCATGTTAGTTCGGCGATAACCTTACACATAGAACAATATTCCGCCTCAGCGGAAGACAAAGACAAAAAATCATGTTTCTTTGACTTCCAGGAAATAGGAGACCCACCAAGTGCGATATAGAAGCCACTAACAGACCGTCTGGTTTTCGGACATAAAGTCCAGTCAGCATCGCAAAAAGGTACGAGCTTTAGGGATAAGGCTGAATTGAGGATGATCCCTTGACCTGGGTTTGTTTTCGGATATTGTAACATTCGAAGGGCTGTTGTGAGATGAGGAAGTTTGGGGATTTGCATGAATTGGCTCAATTTAAGAACGATAAATGAGAGATCTGGCCTTTGTATGAGTCAAATAATTTAATTCTACCACTAGATGTTGATATAATGTTGGATTTGAGAGAGGAGGCTCTGATTCTGCTGTAAGCTTGGATGAAGGATGAAGGAGAGAAGCCACACATGAGGAATCTGCAATGTTAAATTCATTCAGCAAGTCCAGGTAAACTTCCTTTGACACACAATAATTCCTTGTCGTTCTCTTAGAATCTCCATGCCTAGAAAGTAATGTAGATTACTTAGATCTTTCACTTTAAATTCACAATTGAGGAAAGACTTCAAGGTTGTAATTTCTGCTGAATCATTTCCACTAATTAGAATATCATCGGCGTACACAGCCACAATTGTAGTCAAAACACCCTATCTTTTAAAAAATAAAGAATAATTGTTCATAGAAGAAGAATACCCTTTGAAACTCAATGCTCCAGCAAGCCTAGCATACCATTGTCGTGAGGCTTACTTTAAACCATAGAGGGACTTTCAAAGTAAACAAACATGATTAGGACTTGGAGGTGATAATACAACAGAGAATTTCAAATAAATTTCCTCTTGTAAATCTCCATGTAGGAAAGCATTACTGATATCTAACTGATTAATTGGCCAGTCTTTCTTAGTAGCCACTGCCAATAAACATCTAATGGTGGTCATTTTGACCATAGGGAAAAAGTTTCTATGTAGTTTATCCCCTCTCTTTGGATGTCCCCCTCACTATCAACCTAGTCTTGAGTCTTTCAATGATCCCATCTGATTTGTGTTTGACCTTGTAAACTCATTTACAAGGTAGTGCCTTTTTGCCAGGTGGTAACACCACCACATCCCAAGTATGATTTGACTTTAAAGCCTCTATTTCTGAATTCATGGCCTCTTGCCAACCAGGGTGCGTTGAGGCTTGAGTGAAACTAGTAGGTTTTGAGATTTGTGAAATAGACTGCAACACATGTTGATTGTGAGATGATAAAATCTCAAAAGAACATACATTAGACACAACAGGATCTACAAAACAAGATATAAGGTTAGTGAGGAAAATATTGTTACAAAAAAAATCCTTGAGCTGACTTGGCCATTTAGACTCTCTAGAAGATCTCCTAAGTAAAACAGGTGTGGTGGTTTGAAGAGTATTTCTGGACATTGGTGAATGTGAAGGATGTCGATAGGGATATCGGGTAAAGATAGGTGAAAAAGACATGTTATGGGTAGAGCTACAAGATTCAGGTGGGCTGGAAGGAATGACAGAAGGTGGAGGCAATGGGTGATTAGTTGTAGTTGAAGGGATATTGGGGTTAAGTATAGTATCAGGGAATAGAAAGTCAAGATATAGAGGATCTTATGGAGAAACAAGAAGGAAAATAGAATTAGGTTGTGTAGGAGTGGATGCAAAAGGAAATTCGTCCTCAAAGAAATAAACATCCCTAGACACTATAATCTTCCTTGTGTCCAATTCCAGCAACTAGTAACCTTTCTGCCTAAGAGGATAACCTAGTTTTGCTCTTAGATCAAATTTGTCTCTCTCACGAGATAAAGTAGAAGCATAGCATAGACAACCAAAAATCTTGAGAGTATCATAAGAGGGAGATTGTTTGAACAGCACATAGTAGGGTGTTCTTCCTTGAATAACCTAAGAATGCATCATGTTAATCAAATAAGTAGCAGTCAGTACACATTCTCCCCAATAAGTAATAGGAACCTTAGAGTAGAAAAGTAGAGCTCGAGTAGTCTCTATGAGATATCTGTCTTTTCTCTCAACTACTCCATTTTATTGAGGAGTAGCAACACATAATGTTTGATGAAAACTACCCTGAGAATGAAGGAAAGTAGATTCTTGTGTGTCTTTCCCTAGCTCAAAAGCATTGTCTGTCCTTAGTTGTTTCACCTTGGTGGCAAACTGTCTTTCAACCATTGTGAGAAAGTTCTTTAAAACCTCAAATGCATTACTTTTGGTGCTCAATAAAAAAGTTCAAGGGCCCCTACTAAAATCATCTACAATAGTTAAGAAATATTTGAAACCATTGTATGTGGGAACTCTGTAAGGTCCCCCATATGTCTACATGGATTATCTCAAATGCTTGCTTTGATTTAATATGACTCAAAGGAAATGGATGTCTAGTTTTCCTAGCTTTGGGACAAATATCACAGTAACATTCAGAACTTGAAGGAAAATGAATAAAATTGAGACGTCTCAGTGATGAAATAGGCAAATGCCCCAATCTAATATGCCAAAGAGTTACATCAGAATTTGCATTAGTAGAAAAAGGAAATACTGAACTTTGACTAAAAATATCATGACATGAAACTACATTCTTTTTATTGCTATTCCTAAAATTCAATGCATTAGGCTTCAAAAGATATAGTACCTATTTCGGTTCACCAAAAACTTGACCCCTGTTCATTGAAGAGGCCCACAACATACATAGAGTAGAAGAGAATGCGAGTATGCACTTAAACCTATTAACAGACAATAAATTATATCTGAAAGTAGGAACATGAAGGACGTTTTCCAGAATATAACCTGGCAGAATAGAAACCTTCCCTATATGTGTTACTGTGACCGTAAAGGAATTAGGCAGATTTATATGCAAAGGAACATGTAGTGGAGACAAGGAAACAAAAATATTTGAGTCAAAACACATATGCTCTGAAGCTCCAGAGTCTATAATCCATATACTAGTATTAAAAACTGAAAGACAGGTTTCAGAATACTTGATAATAGTACCAGCCACTGCATGAGCATTGATATCTGAACTTGGATTTCATGTATTAGCAATCTTGACTTGTTTGATCAATTGAAATAATTGTGTAAACTGACCCTTAGAGAGGTGCTGGTTCAAAGCATCAGAATAATTGCTAGCATCATCCCCCTATTCTCCTGAAATAGCACCATTTCTTTTTATGGTTCCCTGACCTATTTTTGGATTTGCAAACTCAAAATCCTCTGGAAAGCCAATTAATTTGTAACAGTCTCCCATACTATGTCCTATTTTCTTGCAGTAGGAACATGAAATATTTGGATTAAACTTTGTCTTCTTTGCCTTAAGGAATGATGGTTTTTGTGCTGAATTTCTAGTCTTCTGAAAACTATTTGCAGTTCTTTGAAACTGCCCTGATAATTTTTGTTTCCCATTTCTTTGTGGGAAGTTTGCATGCCCTGCAAAAGTACCCTGTCCTTGAAGATTTTCTTGGTTCATTGCCATGAAAGATGAAGTATCAGTAGAGACAAGGGGGTTAGCATACACCTCTCTTTGATTTTCATCTTGTATAATCAGTGAGTAAGCATGGTCAATACTGGGTAGAGGGTTCATCATGATTATGTTTCCTCTAGCCTGACCATATACTTCATTCAAACCCATCAAAAATTGAATGAGTCTTTCATCCTCTTGTGATTTTTTATGTGCTTTCTTTCCCTCATAGTGCAAGTGCATTTGATGTCGCAATTAAGTGAATCTAGCTCATCATATAATCGTTTAAGCTTTGTGAAATAACTAGCTATATCACATGTTCCTTGAGTTAATCCAGCTAATTCTTTCTGTAGATGGTATAACTTTGCACCATTGGACTGTCCAAATCTATGTTCCAAACTGGTCCATAAATTCCTTGCAGATTTGGAGTAGATTACACCATCTCCAATATCTTTGGAGAGAGAATTCAGCAGCCAGAATGTAACCATATCATTACATCTACTCCATGGTTGAAAGTCTTTGGAAGTAGGAGCTGGAGCTGGAGCTGGAGCTGGAGCTGGGCAATTCCCATTTATAAAGCCCAACTTGCTTTTTGCTGAGAAAGCTATTAAGAGAGATCTTTTCCAGCCCTGATAGCCTCTTCCATCGAAAACAGCATTCACCAAACTCATGTCAAGTGCATCTGAGGAGTGAAGGATGATTTGGATCGAAATTGGGTCCATTTCCAGTTGAAGACCCACTTGCTTGCATTTCAGTTGAATCAGGCATGATAAAAAGAGAATGAAAAGCAAACAAAAATCAGAGGAGAGGTGAAGCTGAATTCCCTTGGATCGAGCTACTGCTCTGATACCATGAAAGAAAGAAGGGAAAGTGTGGATTTTTTTTTTTGGTATTTTCTGGTTGATTTCTTTCCGTACAAGCTATGTATATTTATAAAAGTATATTCCGAGTAAAAGAAAGCTGGAAAGAAAAATAGAAATAGAAAAATCCTACAGTATTTGTACACTTGTCATGTATGCACTAAATTAATTATAACAAAATAACCAACTAATATTCTTTCTATCTTTCATGAGTGTGAACCTTCTTATATGTGTGAAAAATTTCCAGAATTGTATTATTATTTACATGGTCCGGGTTTAATCTATCATGACCAACTTTAGACACTAGGATGCTGCCATGTGTCCCTTTAGATTTGAGACCAAATTTTAAACACTTCGTTTTGTCCAATTATTCCTTCTTCTTTGACTCTCACACCTTTCTTTTCTTTTTCTCTACTGTGTGCACCCATGGTGAGATTGATTTACAACAAGTGGTAACGTAATAACTCACCTCCGTCTCAAGTTTGTGACAAGTGTGGTTATTCATATAATATTATTTAATAAAACTTCACTTCCGTTTGAATTTATAAATAAATAATGAAAGCCAAACATTTTATGTTAAATACAAAAGGTAACCAAACAGTAAATTCAGAAGATAATCTTAGTGCCTTCTGTTTTATGATTGAATTATTATTTTGACTGTTCAATGCGCATGACTTGTGAATAGTCAAAAGAAGGAAATACTTTTACCCTCACATTAAAAAAAACAATAATTTTTTATTAATGGTCAAGACAAAAGGCAGTGTTAACTCATTGGCATATTATGGATGCAATATATTGTTGCTAATATCTAAAAAGATAAGAGAAAACAGGAATTATAGAATTTTTTTTAAAAGGATAAAAAGAAGAAGAAGTTGTTTGACTTAAAAAGAATCTTTATCACGCTTGCAATTATTGATTATTGGATCCCACACAAATCCTGTCATGGAAAACATAAGTTGCTTTTACGAAGGTGTGCAAAGAATAGTTGTATTTGGTATTTCCTACGTCCAAGTTTACCTATCCATTATATTAAAAATAGATGTTTATTTTTATTTATTAAATTTGATAAACCAATGGATAATTTATCATTTTATATCTATTTTACCCATATCATTTTCTAACATTTTATTTATAATAGTCAAAATTAGTTTTTCAATAATAATAATAATAATGGGTGATATAATAAAATTATTATATTATTTATTGTTCCTTAAGGAATATACCAAGTTAATAATGGACAAGTAAACTTGACGGAGGAAGTAGTATGTGAAATTGAATATCTATCGTTTATTGCTACTTTTTGTGGGTTAACACTATTATTGATCAGGAATGATAAAAATTTTCTAATCTTAATAATCAGAACTTTTTGGTTCGAGTATTAAGAATGAAAATTACTGGCATGAAGCACTTCTCCGTATTGTATTTTATTTTTATTATTCAATTTTTTTCATGTAAAAACACTAATATTTTTTTTTGTAAATGGGCATTTCCATCATTTTTAAGTTTTTATTTTAATCAAACACATCCACTGCTTATGATCTGTTTAATTTTTTTGTTCAAACACATAATAACTATTTATTTATAAATTAATTTCAAAATTAAAAAGTATGTTTTACACTTGATACTTACCGGTTACTTCTAATCAACTACATCAAAACGGGTCTGAGATTCCGTCCAAAAGTTAAGGTTGTTAACGGATGTCTCACATTGGTGGATTATTTCAAAGTATATTATTTCACAATTAAAATAATGATAAAAAATGCAAGACCCTTATACATTAGACACCAAAGAATGTAATTTCCTCTTATTTTTATAAGTGAATATTACAATTAGATAACTCCGTTATACATATCGTAATTTTAACTAAATTAAAAGCAGAATCAAACTCTCTACAATGTGAAAAGGAAACTTATTTAAGTTTAACATAAAATAAAATGAACTAAGATAATAAAATTCAAACTCTGTCATGGTCAAAAAGTAGATAATCGTTATCAATTATGATAAGTAGGATCTTATTGGTTGAGTACAACTTTTAATAATTGAAATAACTTACACTTCATTTTGCTTTAGCTTTTTTAGTTCTTTTTCCCCCCCTTTAATATTCACTCCTATTTCTCTTAATTTTGGGAAAGCATTATTATGGTGATAATGGGTGGGGCTTTTTATGCAAAACAAAAGAAAATTAAGAGGTGAAGACCAAACGTTGTCTTATAGCATGCCATTGTACAGTTGTTATGTCATATTCCACCATGACATTATTTTTTCGCTTTTCTCAACAAAAAAATAAGTACAAATGATTGACGATGGCCCCCTCAAAGAACAAATTTCCTTTTTTTTTCCTACCGTTTATTAGACGAGGTTTTTTAAGGATAGAAAATACTTGATTATAAAAATAACTATTTCGAGTCAAAATACTTTTAACCATAGTCAGTGATAAAAGTTTATATGCGAGTCTTGAATTCATCTATTTGATGTAAATATTAGCAGGGGCTAAATTTTTAAATGTCACAAATAATAAATTTTTTGATATACGTTCAACATCTAAACCAAGAAAAACAAATAAGGTTAAGAATTTAGGGCTAACAATGCAGCAAAGAAACTAACGTTCTCTGCAAACTCCAGTGCAGTCAACCCAACCATAGTGAACATAGTCAAAGGTAATCGAGCTCAATACTTAGGACATGAACTTAATTACTTTCCCCCACCCTGAAGGATGGAATTAAAGTTGTCAAGCTAAGTGTCAATACCATACTGCAAAATCAAAAATGGAAGTCGACCTAATTGGTTATGTAATTGGGGGTTAACCCTACATTTAAATACATACTTAAGTTTCTCTATGGGATATGAAATGCTGTCACAACTCCTCAGGTTTATCTCCATGATGAATGCTATTTTATATTTAGATTTGACAATGAAGAAGATAAACTAAAGATTCTACAAAATGGACCTTATACTTACAACAATAGACCTATGATTCTGAAGCAATGGGTACCAAACTTCAAATTAGCTGAAAAACCACTGAATGCAATACCAGTATGGGTAGTGTTCCCAAACCTACCCATCTAGTATTGGGCGATAGAAAACTTGGGATGAATAGCTAACTTCCTGGGGAAACCAACCTGTACTGATAAGCTCACAGCAAAAGAAGAAAGAATCTCCTAGCCAGGGTGCTTATTGAAATGGATGTGGCTCAGCCTCTCCTTGAATCAGTAACACTAGAGGAGCTTGATGGTAGCTGCATTTTGCAACCAATTGAGTATGAATAGAAACCAGAATACTGCCAGGAATGCTTGCAGATTGGTTAGCACAAAGCAAACTGCAAAGCACAGACTAAGACACACTCTGAAACAATTGACAAGCAACAACCAAAGAGACAAAAGAAGAAAGTAAAGCAGCCACAATGGAAATCCAAACCCAGTACAGAGCCATCTGCTGATGCTACTGAAAAGACAGACGATGGACCAAAGGAAAAACACAAGGAAGTGAATGCTATAGAGGAAAGCTATGAAACTCAAAGATTATGCAATGACAGGGAAAATCAGAAGATGGATGAAAAAAAGGATACCAGGTCAAGGTCTCCATTAGTAACTGAAGATGTTGAACAATTCCTACGCCAGAACAGATTTAGTGTGCTAAGGATACAACCCGATAAAGCTAATATCAGCCTGGTAAAAGGGGATAATTTAAACAAAGATCCCCCATGATCATTTGCTCATGGAATATAAGAGGGCTAAACAAGCCCTACAAGCAAAAAGAATTGAAATCCTTTTTTCTTAAAAATAAAGTGGTACTGCTGGGATGTCTAAAAACTAAAATAAAGCAGAGCAGAAAAAATAAAAAGAAAGTTAGGAGCTGAGTGGCTGATACATGCAGACTATACAGTCACCCCTAAAGGTAGATTGTGGATTTGCTGGAAACCTCACAAGCTTTCAGTAACCATTTTGCTATCGAATATGTAACTGCTACACTGTAAGGTTGAAGACAAGGAGTCGCAATTTGCCTGCCACATGACCTTTGTATATGGAAAGAATACACAAAATAAGAGAAAAGACTTATGAAGACAACTGGAACTAATTAGCACACTGATGTCTGATCACTGGGTTGTCATAGGTGACTTCAATACAATCCTCTCTGTGCAAGATAGAGTAAATGGATTGCCTGTGAAACAATTAGAGATTGAAGATTTTCAAAACTGCATACAAGAGACTAGACTTGGTCAAATATGATGACCCAAAAGGTCATCACTTGTTTTAGAAATGAATTATATATTCTGAAGCCTTAGAAATCTCTTTCAGTATCACCTCAATTTGCTGCGCAATTCGGGCGCGTAGCCGGAAAGCCAATATGTGAAAATCTGTGAAAAATGATGAATTTTATCTTTAAAATAAATTAATTTAACTTCGGTCAATATTTTGGGTAAAAATATGGGACTTGGGCGTATGCCCGAAATCGAATTCCGAGGTCCCAAGCCCAAGAAATGAAGTTTTTAAAAAAAATTATTTTCTGGAATATTATTGAGTTTTTGGAAATGATACGTGTTTAGAACTTGATAGTATCAGGCCTGTATTTTGGTTCCGGTGCCCGGTACAGGTCTTATATGTGATTTAAGATAAGTCTGTGAAATTTGGTAATAAACGGACTTGAGATGACGTGAATCAAATCGTATTTGAGAAAATTGGAAAATTTGAAGTTCTTAAGAAATTTCATGATTTTGATGCTAAATTCATAGTTATTGATGTTACTTTGGTGATTTGAATGCACGAGCGAGTCCGTATGATGTTTTTAGGTTGGTGTGCATGTTTGGTTTGGAGCCCCGATGACTCGGGTGAGCTTTGAATAGGCCACAGATTGGAATTTGGACT